CAAATCAGTGTACCACATCTGATATTCCTCACGCAAGCATCATCAACTGGAGATTTTGTCTGTTGATATCCCAGACTTAGGCCAATATAAGAAGGTTCTTCAGTATTAAAGGCCGTTAACTTCCTCACCATTAAGAAGAGTGATCTTAATCTTAAAGTGAGTTCCGCCATCTCAACAGGTAGATTCTGTGGAATACAGAATGGACATAGCTGCTCCCAAATCTTCCAAACTTCCAAGCTGTTCTAGGATTTCAGGTTGTTTGTTGCATTTATTTCCCCATCTTTCTCTTGAGAGTGTCATAAAATGGAATTTCCCCTAGTTTTCTGCCCAACTACGACCCTGGGAAAACTTCATTGTGACTGAGTCTATTCATCTTAGTGCTGGTCATCATCTTCTCTTTCCTTTCATCTTTTGCAACCTTCTACTCCTCCAGTGAACTGGGTCTTTGCATAATGTGTGCAAAGTAAGATAATTTGAACCTGCTCATTTGTTCCTTGAGTGAAAACTCTGGGTCGATGTGTTTGATGAACCATTTGTTTGTTTTCTTGGCCATCCATGGTATTCTCAAAAGTCTTCTCCAATGCCAAACTTCAAAAGTGTCAATAGTCTTTCTACCCTGCTTCTTCAAAGTATATTAGACCTAATACTTCAAGCCTTACAATTTATTATTTTATATTATCTGATTTAAATGCTCGTAAATACAGGTACTCAAGTTTGTCATTGCATGAATCAGGCCAAAATTATCCTTTGTTTTGAATAGACATTGTGGACTATATTATTACTGTAGAAATGTGTTTCCCTCTTCCAGAAAGATCTATATCTAGACAAATCTCTGTTCTATAGCTTCTCAAAAATTTCTTCTTTTAATGAAAAACAGTTGGTTATAAATAGCAGTATTGGTTCCCACCTGAGTTGTCACCAATATATGTTGTCTTCACCAGTACCCAGAAGAGTCTTCAAACTGTTTTTTAAAATGTTAACTCTTTTAAAAAAAATAATCAAATATTATATTCATTTATGACAAAGGTGGCAGGAATGCTTTTTTTCTATAAACATATTCTAATTGGCCATCCATCTAATGATATCAACCATTATAATGTAGATATAGATGAATGTGTAAACGTAGATAGATAGTAATATGCGGGGGGGGGGGAAACAAGCTCTTGGAAGAATTTGAACAATTTAAAGTTGGAATACTGGAGGCTGGTTTCTCTCCAGAGAAGATCTTTAAAATATTCAATCTCTATTTAATCCTGAATATAAAACTGCTGACTTCAGTTGTATTAAGGAAGAAAGCAAAGACTTCATTAAAAGTGCTGATTTTCTATTGCTTCCAGAAGATTCTCAGCTTTCCCTTCTACTATCTTGCCAAGCACATGTTGAATTTTTTTCTACTTCAGATGAATTTCTTCGCTGCTTGCCTGAGTCAGCAGGTAAACATGTGTTTACCTTTCCTTCCTCTTCTTTCATCAAGTCTGAAAAACTCAAACATTTTTTTAATAAAACACTTGTCCAAAAGATGTCCCAGCTCCAATTTGGAAAGCTGATTACTTCCAATGAAAACCATATCTATTCAGAGGAAATATGCAATTTCTGTAACTGGGCTGGAAAATGTCCTTCACATTTCAGGTAATAGCTTTCATGAAATTTCCACGGACATTATAGGACCCCATGATGATTTCCAATATTTCCAGCCATTACTGTGAAATCTATCACACTGCAGAGTAGACCGGGGGGGGGGGGGGGGGGGCAGAAAGATCTTGACCAGAGTATTTTTGTGGGATTAATGGGGACAATTGCCCTGTGCCCCATCCACAGAAGGGGATCCAATTAAAGCATAGTTCGGCATTTGAAATGATCTAATGACTCAATACTTTTCATTTAAGGCAGTAGTAAAATCAATCAGTTAAAATACAATCCCAAGAGTTAATTTGGTATATTGATTATCCTTAATGCACTGCAAGTAACCAGACCATTGATTCCATCCTACAGGCTCCTTAAAGACTTCCTAATTATTCCCTAGCCAGAAAACATTCCAACAAGCCATTGGCATGTTTCCATCCAGATGTTCATGTGACTTTAAGAACTGATGAGAAATTCCCATCTTCTTTATTTGTTATATTGTTTAGGTTCAAGGCATAAGATTAGTGACTTCATTGTAGCCTCTCTGGAGGCCTTTTTGATTAACAAGCAAGTAAAGATGCCTTATTATTTTTTCAGGTCCCTGATTTTGCCACACTGAGCAGCAAATGGTGAAAGCAACTTTCCTTCCCATTCACAGAAATATGAATAAAACTCTCCATATAGTTGAGACGCTTCTTTTTTTATGGTGACCAGTTCTGCAGAGGTCTACTCATTTACCTGAATCTGAGTCCAACTACCTCTCACTTTCATATCTTGCTGTTCAACACAGGGAGCATAGATACAGAGGGAGCAGGGTGGCATTCTCTTCCATGTGCTCTTTGGGGTTATTTAAATAGGAGATGGGTGAGAAAGTAATTTAGGCTGCATTGACTGCCAGTGTATCTGATTCTGCATTTCTAATCAATTTATTAAGGATGGGCAACTGATATTCTCAGGTCACATGTGCTCCTATTCCCCCTGTATTACTAAAAATGTAAGGCAAACTTTTTATACTGTTCTGAGCAGGGCCATTTTTTTTTTTTTTAACGTAGTAGTACTTCTCAAATGACTTGATAAATGGAGCCTGTTACTCAAAGACTTTTAAACCAAAACGTCTTCCGAAATGAATTATTCAGGAAGGGGGGACAGACTGGAGAGGGAGGAGATCCCCATGGTCTCCACTGTCCACTAGAAGGAAGGGAGGTGGAAGGTTGAGTGGAAGGATGCATCCAAGGGAAGCTCTGGGTCTTACACAAGGAGATCTTTCAGTAGGCAAGAGGGCTGTTTAAATAATAAGAACTTTAGTCAAAGAAGCTCAGACACAGAAAAAGAAACTGGAGTGTTTACCTGGTCAGGAATCAAGTTGCAAATTCATCTAGGAGAATAGAAAGTTCAGAGAAAGAAAAACAGTTTTTCTTCCCTTTTAAAAAATTTGTTAAAGTTCCAACTGGGATCTTCTGCATGTCAAGCAAGTGTTATAACCTCTATGCTATTGGAACACCATTGGTAACTGTAGCTCAGAAGAATGGAGGGAGGCACAGGTGGGAAAAGGCAAGTTTTATTTCAAAGCATTAGGTTTTACAAAAATAGATGTGCTCAATAAAACCACCCACAGAAAGGAAAGCAGTTACCAATGTCCTGGCATGGAACATTGGGAGGGCATAACTACAGGGCAATTGTTCAGTGGGAGGTGGTGGAAACCAATAGTCTGGGTTCAACACTTGGTGACCCACTTCCAAAGTGTCCCAATCTGATTTTTTTTTTAGGTTGGTTAATGCCAGCCTGAAGAAAGTACAGGACTAGTCTAAGGGCCTGGAAGTATCTGTAGATATGCCATAGCATGGCAAGAGGTAGGCAGTCTTCAGCGACCAGATCTGGCATGCAAAATTCCATCTGAACAAGAAATGGCAACAAAAAGATGTGTTGTTACTTGCCATCTAGTCCTCCCCTGGATTTTTGCAGCCAGATCTTTTAGCCCTGCCGTAGAGCATTCTCTCCAGCCAAAGTGATGTGAATTGCTGTTTCCTACTACTCTGAGATGGGAATGTATTTAAATATGTACTGGGAGCCTTAAAAGAACAAAGAACAAGAAACAGTGTCCCCTCCCAAAAGGACCTGGAGAGGGAGGAGTAAGATTTTAGTCTATACCATGGCCTCATCATTTTGCATTCATGCCCAGCAACTCTTGCTTCACCC